GGGGGGGGGCAATCTAAGTTCCCTAGGAGGGCATGACAGAAAATAGTTGAAAACCATCAACTTATTCAGCAAGTTGTGGGAAACAGGAGTTTTCAGTAAACCAGTTTGAAAGCACTGAGGGGGGAAATATCTTTGAATTGCTGTAGTCTATCTTGTTTTTAGTCACCCTGCAGCCCACCCTACAATCATCCCTTCATCCACAAGCATGGGTTTGCCTAAATACTGTACATTTACACAATTAACTGATTGTTTACAAAAATACAAAGTAACTTTGGATGGATGGATAGATTTCAGATTTATATTTAAGATATAGATATATATTTAAATTTTAGATTTAAGAAAAATGCACTAAATGTGAAGAAAGTGCACAGATTTTTCTCTGTTTAAAATTTAAAACTTGACACCTCATACATGCTACCAGCAACAAAAGTTACTGTGTGGAACGTCCCTCCATTCATTACTGAAGAGTTCCTGATCAAAGAGCTGTCTCAACATGGTGTCGTCCTCTATTTAAAAATGATATCACCACTGTTAAAACATGTTGTGTCTCATAGGAGGCAGATTTACATGGTGTTTAACAGATGTGAAGAGTTTAATGTTCATGTAAAACTTGATGACTTTGGTTGTATTCTGTTTGTACCATCATCAACCATGAAGTGCTTTGGTCAGGAGGGACATACAACCTGTCCTAACAGGGCCCGGCTGGTCCCAGCAGGATCAGTGAAGCAGCAGTTCACTGCTGCAGAACAGGTGGGAGACCCATCTAAGAGCAGGGCGGAGGTGATGCCTGCTGCCATGAGGGAACCCCTCAGGTGCTGTGGACAGTGAAAACACACTAAGAACTGCTGTGTGTGGATAGAAGTGGCAGCATGGAGGTGTGTGGTGACTTGTGTCCTGTGTGTTTACCTGTTGTTTTGTGTTGTCTTTTTCTGGTTCCCTCCTGATTTTCTCTCACACCTGTCTGCACTTATAATCACTCAGCTGTTTCCACTTTTCACCCAGCCCTGTCACTATTTAACTGGTTCTTCTCTGTCACTCCCTGGTCTGATCATTGTTTGCTTCTTCCTCATGTGTTCTTGTTCCCATGCCTGGCTTTATTGTTTTCTAGTGATGGATAAACTGAGGCTTTCTGAATCACTGAATCAATAACTGAGCTGAAATGACTCGAATCATTTGGTACATTAAAGTGTTGCTCCATCTGCTGGCCAAGCTTTAACATTACAGCTGCATGAAAAACCATGAAGGACAAGAACCAGTCAGTCTCTGTTCTGTATAATAAAGCTTCTACACACATCTTGAACATTTTGACAGTTTTCTATATGAACAATAATAAAATATTACAGTAAAATGTGGCTGTGCCGTCACAAAATACTGTATGTGATGAAGACAGGGGCTGCTCTGTGAAGCAGCTCTGATCTTACTAATATAAACCTGGAGCTTATTGTCCATAATTATTGTTTTGCTTCACTAAATATGGCCTATAAATAAAAGTCTAGTAATTATCTGTATTGTTTTTATTAATCATAGCATTTTGCTACAGTTTATACTAAAAAACACAGATGAGTCTTACTCACATCTCTCACATGAGAGCCACGTATCTCATTTGCTACTCCAACATTATAACACAGCAATCCTGAAATATCTCTTATTTCATTTTTACAAACACTCCACACAACTTTCTTCTACATACTGATCCCTAAAACAGAAGTTAATTATTCAACAGGATCATTACAGAAATACTCTTTGGCAAGAAATACTAAATCACTAAAAAGTGTGTAGGGGTATTAAACGCTAGAATTCTGAAATGGATAATTTGTGAATATATTTAAATATATTATATTTAAATATATTATTCCTCGGAGCACCACATTCTTAATTCGATCAGATATTGACCCAGGAAAGAAATGAAAAACTGTAACTTAATTGTAATCAGTCTCAGAATAAATTTAACCAAATTGATTTATGAGTTCTTGTCTTATCAGAACCAGAATATCTTCATCAAGACACAAAAATGAGATTAGCTGATGTTGGCACGTTCTCCACGGGCCATTTATTTACAGATTAAATGTATTTACAACTATGGCATGTAATTAATGAATATGACATGTTTGAACCAGGTAAAACTGAGAGAGTTTGTTATCACGAGTGAATGAACAAACAGACAGAAGAAAACAAACAAACATGTAAACAAAAATAAACACTGAGAAGTGAGTTTGAGACTAGGAGTGAGGTGAGATAAGCTGCTTAGCTGTGTTTTTTAACTAGGGGCTCCTAGTTAAATTAAGATAGAGAAAAACGTTTAGTTTACCAAATCTTRTACAAAGATAAAAATCAAATTAATCTCAGCACCTTGTGTGTCACCAGTACAAGTGTTCACCTTTACCCTGTTGTTCTGCTTATGGTGGTACCAATGACCCCCCCTTCCCCATCCTGGTCAGCAAAGGGGAGGGCTGGCAGGGGGTCCCTGCTGAGCTGTGGAAGCTATTTCTGGCTTCAAAGGGAAACCAACTGACTGAACTGCAACTCCAACAACAACTCTACTTGTCCTTGTCTGCACTAACTTTTAAGACCTCTGTTATGGGCGGAGTCAAGGTTTTAGTTAGCCAATTGAAAAACTTTACCAAAGTTTTTAACAAATCAAATGTTTGGAGGGAGAAACTTTGCCTCAAGACAAAGGATGGGAGTGTTTTAGTCTAATTATCTTGCATCTAATTAAAGGGGAGGACATCTGCTTTACCTCAGTAAAAAAAGAATGTCCATTTAGTGAAATACAAACCTAAAGTTTTCTAAGGTTAACTCTCGTAATAACAGTTTAAAAGAAACATCTTTTTTCAGGACAACATTTCATCAAACAATTAACACCAATTAGAAACATGTCTTTAGTGGGCAAACAGTTAAAAAAACAGTAGTTTTTTTCTTTGTTTACTCAAGCACGTGGGTCCCTTTTTTCAGTCATGCTGAAGAGTCTGGCAAAAGTATTTTATGACCCCCCCCCCCTGAAGAGGAGCGATCAGGCAGTCCTTACACTCACTCCAACTTGTGGGGTTCAGGAATGTGGCAATCCTTTATCTGATGACGAGGTGTCAGGAAGTCTGGGGGGGTGTAAGATATGATAATTCGAAGCAGAAGGGACATGCAAGATCCTTAAAAGAAGTCTGAAATGAGTAGATTTGATTTCTTCCTCTAAACAGTCATAGAAACAAGTTATATCCATCAGAAGTTATTAATTGAAGGAGGAAAATAATACATAATCCCCCCGATTATAAAAAATAACGATGAAATGTTGATGGGTTACAATCACGTGGTGTTTTCCTGCTTCTTGTGGCATGAACGTCCTCCATGTCCTTCGTCATGCGTGTGAGGGATCAGTCCTTTAGTTCTGGAGCAACAATTCTGGAGCGCTCTTCAAACAATAGACAGTCAGTAATCCAAAAACAGGTTAGGGTTAATTTCATACCAAAACAGAGTGATCCTAGAGAAGGCAGGGCTGTCTTTGGCCTCTGGGGGGTAGATGCGAGTCGACCTCTGGAGGGCGGTTGGAGTTGACCTCTGGAGACTGGTGGAGTCGACGTCTGGAGGCGGCTGAGTTGACCTCTGGAGACTGGTGGAGTCGACGTCTGGAGGCGGCTGAGTTGACCTCTGGAGGGCTGAGTTGGTTGACCTCTGCAGGGCTGATGGCGTCGCTGGAGCTCGGGCATGTGAAACAATTAATTGGAGAGACATCAGGTGCTCAATAACTAAATGGTATCTAGAGATTAGCATGGCGTTCCTAGTGAACAAAACAAATAAAATACAACCCTAAGGTTTAAAACATGCATGTATAAATGTCGGTTGACTTACAAGTGAAATAATGAAAATGATAAGCTAATTATCTAACAGTGATTTTCTAACACCACTGGTTTCTATTCATCCTAAGGAACTAAAAGAAGATCTTATTCAAAATATCTCTTTGTTTTTCTTTAAAGGGGTACATGCAAAGACTTTAGCTTAACAAAAGAAAAGGGAGATATTTAAAGGGGCACATGGAACGGTCCTGCCTAACCATGTGTAAGTCTGAAAAGACTTATTATCAACCTTTAACACGTTGTTCGACTGAGTGTGAGCAAACATAACAACACAAACTTCACTGTGAGTACCTCTGGTACTGTTTGTAGTTAGCATTTGTTAGCGGTTAGCTCTAGTCTGAACCGATGGTCGAGAAAAGTTAAAGGTTTTTAGTTTAAAGATGTTAGCTTAAACTAATCTAAATAGTTGAGTTTATCAACTTTGATGTTAGATTTCTGAAGAATCTTTAATGCTGAGATTTTTTCTCAGGTGAGTCTTGAGTAATTTTCTTTACTTGTTCGTTTGGACTCATTAAAATATTTCATCTGTAGCTCTGTGGCTTTTTTTCTTGTAGCTCTGTGACTTTTAGCACTTCTGAAACTCACAATAAGGCTGTTTCTTTTTTTCTTTTGCCTTTATCAAGAGAGAGTTTAGCTTATTAGCGAGGCGATCTGTTCCAGACGTCAGCGGTCTGGCTTAAGCTTTAGCAACGATTCAGATCGGTGCTGAAAAAAAAACCAATCACCCCACCCTCCCCCTTTTTGAAGGGAAACTTTTAGCAAAGCGGATTCTCGGATCAGCTTGTGTTCAGGCTTTTTCTACCTGGAGTGAGCACGTAGCTTCTAAGAACAGAATTTACCACTTCTTCGTGGTTAGCAAAGCTTCTGTGAGCTTTATTATCATTTCTTTATGATAATTAGATACCTGCAACAA